AAAAAAAAGGACTTCAGGTAGAAGCACAAAGACTAGATTGTGTTCAATTAAGTGGAGAATAATTTCTCTGTTTTTGTAACTTACAAAAACACTGTACAGAACTTGGTTAATACTGGAGTCCATATCTCAACTTTCTGTGTGTTGTGAGGGCCCATATTGTGTACAATATTTAATTTGACTTTCTGTTTGATTTACATTAATCTGTTGCCGAAAAGTAATTGAAGAAAGTAATTCTGACAATACATCTAATACATCTGATTGTCCTGGAAGAACACAACTATCTTTATGTAGTAATTTTTAAGTAAAAGTCAAAGAAACACAATATTTAGTTTTATCAATGTACTCCACTCTACTGCGGCCACAGCTGCCCTGGGCAAACAGACTAACTCACCAGATTCAGAAAAACAATGCAGATGTAATCCAACTATTTCAACTTTAGAAACAGAGTCATGCCAGTGTGGTACCTTCCCAGAGGTCTCCCATCCAAAGGCTAACCAATCCTTGACAGGCTGACCTGTTATATGACAAAACCAGGAAAGCAGATATGGCTTTTCTAAAAGAAGTGAGCTGACTTAGGTGACCATTGACCAGTGTGTGAATGCTCTTTGTCTCAATGGGAGTGGCCAATGCAGACCAACATTCCAACACCACAAGCCGCTTCTGTTCTTTACAAACCACTGAAAATCCATCTGTCTGGAGAAGCAGATCTCGTATTCTCCCCGGCCACTGGTTCTTGACCCTGACAGCAAGAAGCCGAGAGGTAAAGGGGAGAAGATCCATGTTTGAATGTGAGAGTGGGTCTAAAGCAGCAGTGCAGACAAGCTGACAGCACCAGGATAATGGGCCTGCCAGAACCTCTCTCACACTACAGCCGCCTCCCAAACACAATCTCTGCACAGCTTACACATCCACTCCCCCCTAACCTACACTGGCAATATTTGTATTGAGATTTAACCGCACAGCAGACAGGCCTGCAGATGGGAGGGCAGCAGGTTTGGAAAATGCACTCATTTGCAGGCCCAAGCGCCGGATTCCACACTAAAGAGCTCTTCTCCTCTTCAGTGGCTCGGTAATGTCTCCTGTCAGCTGTAGAAACAGGCAGTAATTTGATAAATGGCCAGGCTGAGATGAAGTGAAAATAGAGCTGACAGTGGACAGGGCCGGAGCGTCTCCTGCCACGCACAATCTGATTCGAGTTACGGTTCTGAAGAAAAAAAAAAGAAAAAAAACGTATAGTACAGGGTTAGGATTAGGGTATGTTGCACCTGCCACAGAATGACCTGTAAAAAGATAACTGATAGGGAACGCTGTATTCCAAACATTAGTAATTATCATTGTGTTAAGAGTTCAAGTTTTATGGTAATATACATTGTTGCACAATTATGTACACTATGCCGTATTAGTCAAGACTCTCAGTGAGGGCCGCACTGACTGAAACTTTGGTGTCCAGTAGGGGGGCTCAAAATGCCTTTTTGTATGAGTGAGACCCCTGTGCTCGATCCTCCATCAAAGCGTTACCTATAATATTAATACAAACTTTTGAGAAATAAATAAATAAAAAAACGTCAGTGTAGCAGGAAAATCACCACCAGAGGAAAAATCTGGAACATGGCTTTTAGAGAGGCTGGACAAGTCATAGATTATTAGATTACAAAACCAAAAGCAGTGATAGGGCTCTCTTCTTTTTAACTAGACAGAATATGTAAAGAAGCTATAGTGGACCTGACATGTTTCAGCGATAGACCTTGTTGTGGTCTCTGGAGAAGTGATAAGTGTGAGCCAAGGTGAATGCCCCATCGTCCCTGTTGATGGTATGTGCGCCCGCTTCCTGCTTTCAGACCATCTTTCGTATTTATTTTTGTTCTGTTCCTACTATTTTTGCATTGTCCCAGTCAATGATGTGATTTTCTCTTTTGCAGTCGTCTGATATTGCTAATTTGAGGTTTTCCTGTGTTGCTTTTGTATGAGGTTTTATTATTGCGTTGATGTTGTGTTTTCCAAGTGCTCTCCGTATCTGACCCCACGTATGTATGGTATAGAGTTTTGTTCGGGCCTGAAAAATCAAGCCTAACCCGGCCCAAGCCCGCTAATACTAAGCCCGAGCCCGTATAAGCCCGACCAATTAAGGTTGTATAATAGGCCCGAGCCCAACAGAAGCCCGACACATCTGATTTCCCTTCTTGTACGCACTCACCTTCCAATTGCAAGTTTAGCCACTTCTGAATGTGTTTTGTACGTCCACCTGATCCATTTCTGTTATGTTCCGTGTGTTCGCTGTTGACCGTAGCATTCAACAGGAAAAACAGGGATGATGCGTTCACGGCTTGCTGCGGCTGTAGGACACGCCGGTTACGGTGATAAATATATCAACTTTTTTAATAACTTGTTGTCAATCAACGGACATTATTATTAATAAATACATATATGCATATCATTATGTATGAAAATCATAAATAATAAAAAATATTGATTAAAAAAAATAAAAAAAGGAAAAATAAAAAGGAGCCCGAGCCCGGAACGGCCCGACTGCTGAGCGCTGAAGTGAGGCCCAAGCCCGGCCCGTACTCGGGTCGGGCTCGGGCCTGCTCGGGCTCGGGCTGAAAAGCGAAACTCTAGTATGGTATAGTGAATATTTCTTTTGTGTTCCTTGAGTGGTTGTTTTCGTCCCTGTTTTAGTGAGTGCTTGAATTATGTGTCCTTCTTTTATCCTGTCTTCTTGTTCTGTGATGTTATTGAGGCGTTCCAATAGTGTTCTGTGAAAGGGTATTTTGAAGTCCATAGAAAATCTGTGTCATAGTTATTGCATCCTGGTCTATATATGTGAAAGAGTATATGTAGGTGCACATGTTTGTATATATTTCTCAGCTTTATATCTCCCACAAGCTCAAACACTTACACATGCACGCACACACACACACACACACACACACACACACACACACACACATACTTACCCTACCCTAACCCCACTAGTACCTTTGTTGTTTATTGTACTGTAACTATGTATTTTCCTGTATGCCTAAATAAAAAATAAAATATAAAAAAAATCTGTGTGTGTTGGTTTTGTGTAAACTGTCTACTTAAAGAACCTTCTAAGCCTTAAACCTAAGAAGATAAAACCATACTTTTTAAATTTGAGCAACACAATGTACTTAAACAATGCCCTGTAATTGCTTTGTTTAAAATCAATTTACTTTTCATTATTTGACTGAACATAGAACAGTAGCTACACATAAAAAAGTGAAATATTCCAAGAGTCAAATGTTTGGGTACAGGATCTAACAGACATGATTTTTGACAATATTTTGCATCTGAACAGAAGTCCAAAGTGGTTGTCAGCTGCTGCTACAGTTTTAACAGATGGAGCTTACGGATGGATGCGTGAATATTTGTCAGACTGTGGCATTATTTTAGATTTGTTTACTTCTGACTCATGTTCATTCGCTGTGCTTGTTAGTTTAGTTTTCCTTTTGTCCATGAAACACTTCAGAAAAACTGCAAGTGCCACCAGATATAACTGAGCAAATGTAAAGTGCTGGTGAGTTGCTCTTGTAATACTTTTGTTCACATCAACTTGAATTAAGAAGATAGATTTGACCTCTGTCCAATTTATGTGGATGTGTGTGTGTGTGTGTGTGTGTGTGTGTGTGTGTGTGTAGAGCGATCCAAATCTATAACTAACCTCACTGTCTCTAAAGTTAGTATTTGTGCCTTCTATACTCATAGTGTATTACAGCTTTGTTCTTATTCTTTGGTTGAATTCACGCAGTGTTAGGCGTGGCGGTTCTACTGGTACCCTTTCTGCTGTTTTTTGCTTTCTTTCACTTTTTGCCTCATGTAGTCACCCTGGATATGTTGCACTAGTTTTCTTGCACTCAAACATAATATCACACGTGGGAAAAGTAATGGGTCATTCAAACAATGTCTCCATGGAAAGGTGTTCTGACTAAAGAGAGACCTTGCAGAACCTGGCACACTCCGGGGGACTAATTGAGGAACTGTGCATGAAAAGTGAAGTCAGGGCATTTCTGATCAGACTGCTGCCTCAGTCAGTGGGAAATAAACTCTGCAACAATGTTATTTCATGTTGCAGAAATATCATTGTTATTTCTGCAACTCGAAATTAGAGCATCCATCCATCCATCCATCTTCTTCCCTTTAATCCATTTCTGGGTCAGGGGGGTGGCAGTCAGAGATGCCACCCAAGTCTCATAGCACCAGCCCCTCACTGACCCTCTGCAGGTGGTGAGTCCACAGGAGGACGGCTGCTCTCTGAGCATAGCCTTGATCTTTCAGTGGGGGCTTTGGGCAAAGTGGGGTTAAGTGTCTTGCCCAAGGACACAACGACAGCAGTCATCAGTGGGAGTCGGTGGAGAAGGTGCAGAGGTGGGAATTGAACCCACGACCTTCTGGGCTTAAAGTGGTTCTCACCCCCGCTCCTCGGAGCTTACGTCACTCACATTTCCTGTTCAAATCTTCCTCTAAATGGGCGTAGCCTGGAGGACTAAAGGGGGCGTGAACGAGACTGGGCCGTTTACATTGCTCAGGGCGGGGGGCTGCTGACGTCAGGTCCAACTTGCAGACGTCAGGTCCAACTTCTGTGCCAGTGTTGGCGCCAGATTCAAAATTCAAATGTAGTAATACAGGTCGCCAGCAGATGGCGCCTCACAGACGGTTTTAGGCAGAAAGTCTAACTTTCAACTAATTTGCACCAAAGTGACAAAATTATGACCAGGATATGTAGACAACACTATTGGACACTCATTTATACCGTTTATCAGCAAAAAAATGTGGATTTGAGGGTGAGTTGTCCTTTAAGGCCAATGCTCTACCAACTGAGCTACTGTCGCCCCTTAGAGCAGTGATGGAGTAACAAGTTTTCGACGAGGCTCTGCTGCAGTCTTCGCTACTTTTCAATATTTTTGCTACCCTCAACTTACTATTTTACGCAGAGCATTCTCGTAACCAGTTGTAAGACAGATCTTGCGGCTTTGGTGATCATGCCTCCCAAGAAGGACGATGTACAGAGTCAGAAGTCGGCGGCGGCTAGCAGCGATGCTATATTAGCTGCTGTTAACAAGCTAGGGGCCAAGTTAGCTAAAGTCTCGCAGCAGGTGGATGGCATAAAAAAGTCCATGGAGGAGCGCCTGGACACGATTGAGGCACACCTTTCAACTCTGCAAAATGACCACAGCCAAACACAGCAACGCTTGGAGGAGACGGACGAGACATTTTCCCAGGTAGATGTCCGCCTTTCAGAATTGGAGACGACCTGCGCTGAGCTACAGGTTGCTAGCAATGCACTCAAAGCTAAAATTAATGATCTGGAGGGGCGCTCTCAGAGGCTTAACATTCGTATTGTGGGCATTAAAGAGGACGAAGAAAAGCCAAATCCTACAAGCTTTGTGACACGGTTAATTCCGGAATGGCTTGGGCAGCAGAACTTTTTAAAGCCGGTTAAAATTGACCACGTCGCGCTCTCAGGCCGAAGCCACAGGATCATGAGCGTCCACGGGTCATTATCGACAAGATCCATAATGACCGCGACATTGCTGTTATCTTTAAACTCAGCAGGCAGAAGGCTCCGCTCCAGTACAAAGGCAACAAAGTCTTCATATGTCTTGATTACACTGCGGAGGTGTCGTCACAGCGTCAGGCGTTCAACACCGTGAAGAAGAAGCTGACGGACGCTGGGGCAACATGTACGCTGCGTTTCCCAGCCAAACTCAACGTTGATTACAACAACAAGGTCCAAGTATTCAACACACCAAGTGAGGCCGAGAGGTTCGCCAGCTCCCTATCTGCTAATCCTTGACTGTCAGATTGCATTTATGTTGAAGTGACTTGAAGAACCGCCTATTTTGTTTTAAAATGTTTCTGATATGATCGTACATATATAAAATGCCCTTATATTACTAAATGTAAAGGGTGTGTAGCTTTTATGTGATATAATCTTTACATTTTAAGACTGCATGGTTAACTTAATTTTCATGCAGCTATTGGGCTCCATTACCCAGCAGTCTCCTGTGTGTTAGAGGTGTTATTGGCCAGGCCCTTACTGTCCAGGAGAGGGTGCTGTATGAGTTTGCCTGCCTTCTCGTCTCCTCTTCTGTGCAGGTATCCACCTACACCATGCCACGCCCCCTCATCAGTGGACCTTTTCAGCTGGGAGCTGAAAGCCGCTCACTCTCTCCTGTGCTGCGGTCTTGGTTGGTCCTGTCCTGGTGGGCTCTGCCTGCAGCCACCATGCCCGTTCATTTTGTGCACATTTGAGTTTGTCTTTTGTTGTATGCACCACATCCACTGCACACCAAGGCAAGGCAAGGCAAGTTTATTTGTATAGCACAATTCATACACAAGGCGCCTCAAAGTGCTGAACAAAACAAGAACGCATTAAAATCATAAATAATCACAGAACATTAAAAAGAAAGATAAAAATATAAAATCCCTCGGTTGTATGCACAGCTAAACAGAACTGTCTTTAACCTGGTTTTAAACATTGTCAGAGAGGAGGCCTGTCTCACATCTTCAGGAAGACTGTTTCAGATTTTAGCAGCATGAATCTGAAAAGCAGCCTCCCCATGTTTAGTCCTGACTCTGGGCACTAACAGGAGTCCAGTCCCTGTGCTCCTCAGAGTCCCAGCAGGAGTCCAGTCCCTGTGCTCCTCAGAGTCCGGGCTGGTTCATATGGGACTAACATGTCACTAATATATTTTGGTGCGAGGCCATGGAGAGACTTGTAACAAGCAGAGCTGTTTTAAAGTCTATTCTCTGAGCCACAGGAAGCCAGTGCAGAGACCTGAGGACTGGACTAATATGGCCGTACTTCCTGGTTCTAGTCAGGACTGGAGCTGCTGCATTTTGAATGTACTGCAGCTATTTTACAGCCTGTTTGGACAGACCTGTGAGCAGGCCATTGCAGTAGTCTAACCTACTGGAGACAAATGCATGGATAAGAATCTCCAGGTCTGCTTTAGACACTATGTTTTTGATCCTGGCAATGTTTTTAAGATGGTAAAAAGCTGCTGATGTTACTGATTTAATGTGGCTATTAAAATTTAAGTCTGAGTCCAGTATTACCCCTAGATTTCTGACCTTGTTTGAAGGTTTTAGGGAGAGAGACTGTGACGCTCTCTCTTTGTTTCTGGGGACCATCCATCCATCCATCCATTTTCTTCCGCTTTATCCGTTGCCGGGTTGCGGGGGCAGCAGTCTAAGCAGACACGCCCAGACTTCCCTATCCACACACACTTCCTCCAGCTCGTCCGGGGGGACCCCAAGGCGTTCCCAGGCCAGCTGAGAGACATAGTCCCTCCAGCGTGTCCTGGGTCTTCCCCGGGGCCTCCTCCCGGTGGGACGTGCCCGGAACACCTCCCCAGGAAGGCGTCCAGGAGGCATCTTGAACAGATGCCCGAGCCACCTCAACTGGTTCCTCTCGACGTGGAGAAGCAGCGGCTCTACTCCGAGCTCCTCCCGTGTGACCGAGCTCCTCACCCTATCTCTAAGGGAGCGCCCAGCCACTCTGCGGGGGAAGCTCATTTCGACCGCTTGTATCAGCGATCTTGTTGTTTCGGTCATTACCCAAAGCTCATGACCATAGGTGAGGGAGGGAACGAAGATTGACCGGTCCGACGGTCCGATACAGCGACCGCATCACTGCGCACGCTGCACCGATCCGCCTGTCAATCTCACGCTCCATCCTTTCCTCACTCGTGAACAAGACCCCGAGATACTTGAACTCCTCCACTTGAGGAAGGGCCTCTCCACCCACCTGAAGAGGGCAAGGCACCTTTTTCCGGTCGAGCACCATGGCCTCGGATTTGGAGGTGCTGATTCTCATCCCAGCCACTTCACACTCGGCTGCAAACTGTCCCAGTGCATGCTGCAGGTCCTGGTTCGTTGGAGCCAACAAGACAACATCGTCCGCAAACAGCAGAGATGAAATCCTGTGGTCCCCGAACCGGACCCCCTCCGGCCCCTGGCTGCGCCTAGAAATTCTGTCCATAAATACAGTGAACAGAACCGGTGACAAAGGGCAGCCCTGTCGGAGGCCAACATTCACCGGGAACAGGTCTGACTTACTGCCGGCAATGCGAACACAGCTCTGGCTCTGGTCATACAGGGATCGGATGGCCCTCAGCAGAGGACCTCCGACCCCGTACTCCCGGAGAACCCCCCAAAGGACACCCCGGGGAACACAGTCGAACGCCTTCTCCAAATCCACAAAGCACATGTGGACAGGTTGGGCGAACTCCCATGAACCTTCGACTGCTGCCCAGTCCTCGCTGCACCTTGCCACCACGGACCCCTCTGCAGGTGGTGGGCCCACAGGAGGGACTGCCCACGTCATCCCTTCGGGCTGAGCCCGGCCGGGCCCCGTGAGCTAAGGCCCGGCCACCAGGCGCTTGCTTGCAAGCCCCGACCCCAGGCCTGGCTCCAGGGTGGGGCCCCGGCTGCGCCATGCCGGGCGACGTCACCGTTCTCATTGTCGTGCTGTCCATGGTTGGCTTCGGACTGCGCTTCGTCTGACTCGTCACTTGAGACCTATCTGCCATGGGAGACCCTACCAGGGGCATGAAGCCCCAGACAGCATAGCTCCCAGGATCATCCGAGTGCTCAAACTCCCCCACCACGTTAAGGTGGCAGTCCAAGGGGGAGCTGGGGACCAAAGACAATCATTTCAGTTTTGTCTGCGTTTAGCTGAAGGAAGTTGTTTTGCATCCACTCACTGATCTGTTGGATACAGTGAAGGAGTGAGTCCATTGGTCCATGTTCTCCTGCAGTCAGTGAGACATAGATCTGAGTGTCGTCTGCATAGTTGTGATAGGACACTTGGTTTCTGCGTATTAACTGACCTAACGGCAGCATGTAGAGATTGAAGAGGTCCCAGGATCGACCCCTGTGGTACTCCACAGGTCAGGGCCATATGATCTGAGACACAGTTTCCAATCTCCACAAATTACTTCCTGTCTTCAAGGTAAGAGCTAAACCAACTTAGGGCGGTGCCAGCGACACCAACCCAGTCCTCTGATCTCTGTAAGAGGATCTCATGTCGACAGTGTCAAAGGCAGCACTTAGATCTAACAAGATTAAGATTGAGACTTTGCCTGCGTCAATGTTCAGCCCTGGCCCGGACTGGCCATCGGGAGCATCGGGAGATCTCCCGGTGGCCTGCGTGTCAAAGTGGCCTGGGCCTGCCCTATCATCACGGTCTTTTTTCTTTTTTTTTCTTTTAATTTAATTTCATCCTCACGGTCTTTGCAAACTCCTACCCTGCCTGGTGGCCTGGTCCAATGAGCAAGGCCCAGGCCAAAGCCAGTGTTGTGCGTGAACGAGTTCAAAATAACGCGTTCATTGAACACGCTCATTTTTTCGTGAACGTTGAACTGAACGCAACACATTTTTTAATAAAGAACTTGAACGTGAATTAGTTCATACTATGTGTCATGAAGGGCAGACAATTTGTTTTCCATTTAAAACTGAGTGAAATTTGTTTTCTCTTTTGAAACGCAACGAGAGAAAGTTCCTCCCTCCTGTATTCTCCGCACTGTTTCCGCCGAAAACTAAAAATTCCTACGGTTTCCACCGTCTGTGAACGCACCCCGACTCAGTGTACTTGCGGTGCGGCGCTATATGCTAGTGCTATTCATTGGTTGTTGGACTCACATGTGCCGTGATGAAAACACAGGGGTAAGTCAGTGACACAGGGCCGTTTACATTTGACATAAAGTATAGACACACGTTCTGCAGCGCATTACAGTTTGTACTTATGAGCAGAGATGGGACAACTCAGTTCCCATTGAAACCCATGTAAATCTTGTCTGCATTGGAGTCAAAACATCCTGTGCAGTGTACAGGATATAATATATAATTATATATATATATAATATATATATATATATATATATATATATATATATATATATATATATATATATATATACCACGTATTGTGATTTCTAGCTCGTAGTGAAAAAAAATATTTATTTGAATATCTCGCAAAAAGTAAAATGAACTGAAATTTTAACTAGTTCAGAATTAAAATTGAGAACTTCGAACGTGAACTGTTCACTTTGAGCATGTATGAACTGAACTTGAACTAGTTCAGAAAAGCTGTGAACTGGCACAACACTGGCCAAAGCTTTACTGTCATTGGGCCAGAGCAAAATTAAACAAATGTGACGTCACACGTCGGCTACACAGCCAGGCCAGCCTAGCAGTGCACCCAGTGTAGCTTCCCCGGTTGAAATGAGTGGTCTCTCCAACTGATGGTTCATACACGTTTTTATTTTTCCTTTTATATGAGCTGTAACGATGTGATTTTACCTTACCTACTTTTTTAACAATAATTGATTAGCTTGTTATAGTTATACACTAATGAACACTTAGTTCATTGTGTGTGTGTGTGTGTCTTTATTCTCACTAAACTCCATAAACGTTACGTTGCTAAGCAACGTACAACAATCCTTAAACGTCCGAGATTATATAAACAGTCAATATAAAAAAAAATAAAGAAAACAAAAGTTTTGACAGTCAATCTTAAAACTATTAAAAGAACATCAAAATACAATGACAAAAACCCAAATTTAGAACCTTGTTTGGCCTGAATGGATGAAAAGCTCCCGGCCTGAAATGTTGTCCCACTCCGGCCCTGGTTCAGCCGGATATCGTTTGTAAGCTTGACGAGGGCAGTCTCAGTGCTGTGGTGGGGTCTAAAGCCGGACTGAAACATATCAAATGAGTTGTTGATTATAAGAAATCTAGTAAGCTGTAGGTAGAGAACTTTTTCAAGGACTTTCCCCATAAATGGCAGAT